TACGCGGGCCTCTCACTGTTGTGGCCTCTTCCGTTGCGGAGCACAGGCTCCGGACGCACAGGCTCAACGGCCATGGCTCACGGGCCCAGCCGCTCTGCGGCATGTGGGATCTTCCCGGACCGGGGCACGAACCCGTGTCCCCTGCATCGGCAGGCGGACTCTCAACCACTGCGCCACCAGGGAAGACCCTGGATTTTATATTTTTAAAGAGTTAAAAATAAAAAACAAAGATTATATGACAGACACATATGTGGCTCCTTAAAGCCTAAAATACAACAATCTGGTCCTTTACAGAAAGAGCTAACCAAAGTCTGCCAAAGAATATACTTTGGGATTTCTTTTTGAGATCGCCACAAACCAGCTTTCCCAATCCTACTGCCCAGGATATTCTTAAGCTATTTTTCCCCACTATACCTAGTACATGTCCAGTGACATACTTAAAAGAGGTAGTTGTGTCCCCTCAGCCATACAGTAAGAAAATATTATGCCGAACTATTACAAATAGTTCTTTTAAGAAAAACTCGTAAATGTGTTATAGTATAAACACAAGAGGAAATTTAAATACTGTCCTTCAAATAGCCTTTGTGTATAACATCAAGTCATTTTTTTAACAATAATAATCCGAGAATGGGGACAATGCTAGATGTTAAGATAAAATGGCAAAGTCATGCTATTTATAGAACCAAGGGCTTTTAGAATATCAAATGAACTGATGCTACTTCTATGAATACATTTGTTCAAGAGCAACCATTAGCACTATATATGGTGTTTCACTGAAAGAAGAAAAAAAGAATTTTTAATATCACACACATCCATGTACATGGTTGTCACTTATAGCTTACCAGCTACATGGAAACAGCCACATGGATATAAGCACAGGCAGACAAAAAACCTGTGGTAAGGGTGGGGATGGGCCCAGTTGGGGTGAAGGAGAAGGATGTACAGAGTCATGTACATAGGAGAGGAGGAGGATGTTAAGGGAACTACAAGTAGTCCAGAGCTGCTGGAACACAAAGCTGGGGTGAGAAGTAGAGAGAGATGAGTCTGGTCACAGCACCACAGGAAACAGCATGAAAGGCTGCACAAAGGAGTTGGTGCCGATCATGAAAGGACGTGATCAGACGTGAATGTCTGGGGATAACAGAGGTAGAAAGAACTGACTGGAGAAGCAGCAAGAGAAGAGACAGTAAGGCAGGCAAGATACCACCATCCACATGAGTATTGATAAGTGCCAGAAGAGGGTAGAGTATAAGGAATGAGAGACATCAAGGAGGTAGAACTGACTGGATTTGGTGCTTGAGGAAACTGGGGAGCTAAGGGAGAGAGGGAAATGCAGGACAACACCAGGGAAGGCTTGGAAAAGTAGATAGAGTTATGCAGAATGGCTGGCAATAGAACAGAAGTTCAGATTTAGATACGTTGAGCTGGAACTATGTGTTATCCAAATAAAAGTGCCTATTTTCACTCTGGGAATCTATTTGAAGAAAATAATCCTGCATATGAAAAAGTTTTATATTCTAATATGTTTAGGATAATGTTATTCACAATAAATAAAAACCAGACTATAACCTGAACGTCTAAAAATAACACGCTGCTCTAAATAACTTATGATGTACTACATTTCATTGAGTAGATGAAGGTATTAAAGCTGATGGCTATAAAGACCGTGGAGCAACACAAAACATTCAATATTTAGTTTAAAAAGGATACAAAATTTTAGTCACACTATAATTACAATCATGGTTTTTAAAAGAAAAAAAAAGATGAAAGGAAATACATCAAATGGCAGTATTAATTGAGTTGTGGTGGTTGATGATAGGGTTGGGGTGATTTTTTTTTAATTATCTCTTTTCCAAAGTAATTTCAATATACTTTTATAACTCTCACAATGGGAAAAAAACTAATGCACTATTTAAAAATAAGTTAAATAATGTGAATTAAAACAGCTATTATAGGAGTTCCAGGAAGGGGTGGGGGAACCTCTTCTATCTTTTATATGTTCACATCTACCTTTAAATCAAAATATGCTTTAGCAACTCCATCACTTAGAAAGCGTGATTCCAAGCTGTGACTGCAACAATTAAAGCACTATAAATAGAAGGTTGGAGGAAAAAAACTCCTTTTATTTTAAGGAATATGAGTATGAGTTCCATCTTAAAATAGTAACTATCATTTGCTAGAAGTAAGTTTTTAATAAAACTCTCTTGAATTCGTCATTTTTGAGTGCTGATATTATAAGGCAAATGCAAGCTAGGTACAAAATGTACTTCTCAAAATATAAATGACCTAGTCAGGGTTGTGAATGTAAATAATACCTTAAAACACATAAAGGTAGTATCAATTGAGTACCAAGCGTGTGTATATCCATTCATGTTCCCTTAACATAAACATCATAAATACAATTGCGATGGATGAAGACAAATAATAAAAAGGAGGGACACTGTACATATCCCCGAGAGCAGGCCCTCGCTGTTCACTGCTAAACCATGTTCAGCACCCAGGAAATGCGTGATGTTTGTCATGAATGTATTTCTCCTTCTTACTTCTATCACTTTGGGCTTCAAGCGTTTCATACTTCTTTAGATATAAAGGCTTTTATACACAGGGAATCCTTTGCTGTGAAAATCCTTCCTCCAGGGGCTTCCCTGGTGGCGCAGTGGTTGAGAGTCCGCCTGCCAATGGAGGGGACATGGGTTCGTGCCCCGGTCCGGGAAGATCCCACATGCTGCGGAGGGGCTGGGCCCGTGAGCCATGGCCGCTGAGCCTGCGCATCCGGAGCCTGTGCTCCTCAACGGGAGAGGCCACAACAGTGAGAGGCCCGTGAACCGCAAAAAATAAAAATCCTTCCTCCAAGGTCTCCCCTTCACCCCAGTGAATCCTACTCAACTTTCAAGACCGCAGTGCAGATGCTGGGCACTGGATAAAGTCTGGAAAGTCTCCTGGCTCCCCCCTTTGCTCTCATAGCATCCAATTCTTGTTTTCAAATGCTTACTGCAGTTTATGATTACATATCTGATCACTTCTTTAATATGTAGGCAGTAAGCTCCATGAGGGCAGACACAGGTGCATTTTTCTCAGCATGACTGCATCATTCCCCAGAACTGCCTGGCATGTAGCAGGCATCCTGAAGCATGTGTTAAATGAATGAATTAAAAAGCTGAAAAAATGTGTCTGACTTCATAACTTGTTGGGCTTCCCATATACAACAAAATCCAACTCCCAGAATGGCTTTTGCTTGCCTCTCTAGTCTCATCCCTAGACACTCTCCACATGTATAACTCACAAACCCCCCAACGGACCACAATCTCTCCTTACTACACCCCTGCCCCTGATATCCCCAACTTGGAATGCCCTCCCCCATCCAGTGCTTCTTTATGACTCAGCTTTCGCATCACCTCCTCTGGAAGTCTTCCCTCATCTCTCTCTCACACTGGATGAGGTCATTTTTTTGCTGTGCTCTTCCAACAAGATCTATCATGGGGTTTATTCCACTCATTTACTACACCATTTATTCATATGGTTACTTACATGTCTCTGCCATTAGAATGAGTCCCCTGAAGTCAGGGATCTAGCTAACAGTCATATACGTTGAAGTCGTGTGTGGTGTGTGTGTTTCTGTTCTACCTAATGCTTGGTGCAATGTCTGACACAAAGTTGTGTATCTACTGAATATCACGTATACTTGATACACACTGAATGGCCAATTTGCAAATGGAAAAGATTAGTCCAGGTCATTTCATGAACCAGAAGATGCTTAAAGGAACTAAACTTGCTGCTGTCATGTCTTGAACCACCTTCTTTTTCATGACATGCTCAAATTTACTTCACTATCAGTGCTGAAAAACAAAGCAAGAGACACTTGGGCAAACACTTACAAGAAGCATCAGCATAAAGGATCCCATATAGATGATCAGGAAAAACAATGAAATCATAGTTAGAGTAAGAATTCCACGAATCCACCAGTTTTTCCACCTAAAAAGGAAATATTTGTAGAGTTAGCATTAACGTGTTCTTAAATTTCTGTGTGTTGTTACAGTAATGAGTTGCCAGACTTACAGGTTTCCCTTAACTATATTTTAGGAATCCCCTATACTTTACCTTATACAATAACAACAATGCAAACCAAACAAACAAACCAATAGCATTCGCTCACTCACTGAGAGCTAAAGGAAATGTAAAAATCCTGTTAGCCGAAGAAAAGAACTAGTTTTTGCTCCATGTGAACAGGATAAATCGCGAGGCTGGGAGGTAAGGTGGCCAACGCAGGTGTGCGCACGTGTCCGCCCGGGGCCACTCAGGTGGGAAGGAGGGGCCAGGTGCACAGCCCTCCCAAAGGGTGTCTGTCCTTCCGTGTGGTGGATAAAAAGAGTACGGATTTTAAGGTGGTGTAGAACAGACAGCACGGCCTTGCAGTGAGAAAAAGTAAAGAGAGGAAAATGCGGAACTGAAACTGGAAAGCACCGCGATTTCAAGGAAATGAGGAAGGTGTGGGGAGGTCCGTCATTGAGGGCAAGGCCAGACTGAAGGTCAGTTCTTTCTGTTGCTCAGCGTGTGCTGCCTGCTTTCCTGTGGGGACAGAGCCTTTCATAGAAAAGTATTCTCTTCTCCTTGGGCCTCTGCTGGTGCTTAGAGCACAGCTTCCCTGAGGCACACCTGGGTGGTCCCCAGTAGACTGAGAATTGACCTCCTCGATGCTCTGCTGTCAGTAAGAGCCTGGGGAGCCCATCTGCCTGCCCTCCATCACCGCAGGAGCCTCACACTTCACCCCCAGTGTACCTTACAAATATTTTCACTCTTTATGTGGCTACGTCATAAGAAATGTCAGCAGCCACTGTATGAAACACCTCAGATCGTTCTAACAACACCTATAGAAGCATGATGCTTTCTGAATCTAAAACTGCTGCCCTCTGAGTTTATTCATTCTACACTCATTTTACATTACACTCACAGTAAAGTTTTTAAATAATTTTCTGATTTCTATTAATTCAAATGCTAACATTTAAATTATATCACAAGAGATTTTGACCCAACGTATAGTAATATGCACTGTATTCTAAGCACAAGCCCTCGTTCTCCTCTCTGTAACAGAAATATTAGCTGATTTCATCCATTTACCGAATACTGACTACACTCCCTGCTTTCAATCACTCTCCTATATAGCCTAGATACCCCTAACTACTCTTTCTCAAATATCCCTTTGATCATGTCCACACAAGACCTAAAATGCCAACAGTAAGTCCAAACTCTTTTATATAGTTTCCAAGGTTTTTCACAAGGTGGTCAAATTGTACTTACCCAACTTTCCCTCTACTGTTTAGTTAAGTATGTAGACTCATACATTTTTCATGAGACTGTAAGCTTTGGGGCTGAACTGAAATGAATGCAGAATCAAAAATGCTACAGCTGAAAGGTTCTATTTGACTTAATAGAATGAACTCTTTGAGGATGAATGAATGGATTAGGAAACTGGGCTAGGTCGCACAGCTAGTCAGAGGTAAATAAAAGACCATAAGCCAGTCTCCTGATAATAATCCTGTCTTCCTTGCACGAACCTCAGAAATGTACTTAGCCCTCCTTCATAACTGATTCTCAGACTCAGAATTACTGAGAACCTCTTCTAGAGAAGAGGACACTACCCAAGTGTCAGAAATCAGACCTTGGTGGGAGTTGAAAGGGCCAAGTGTACCTCTAATGTTAAAGGGGTGGCTCTGACCAGCAGAAAACGGTAGCTTCTGAGAACCAGAGATTTAAACAAAGACCTACTCTCTTTTATTATACAGATGTTACTCCAGGCAGAAAAATTCCCCTCCCCAACAAGACTTAATTGCCTTATTTTAATTTAAATGACTCCCCAAATCTCCCAAGAATACCTAACACAAAGTTAAGCACATAAAAGCACATACTTAAACTTAATATATATATCCATTGATACAGTAACCCAAAGTTATCTCTTAGAGGAGAAGCACTGAGTTCAAAACAGAACATTGATATGCAAAAGAATATGTACCATTGTAACTAAAATCCAGAGGAAAGTCTGGTTCCGAATTCAAAATTCTTGATTTCCTTTACCATGCCACCATGATCACATTAGAGTAAGCCTTAATTTTGAGTCCAAGTCATCACCTCACAGATTGTTTTAGGTAAAGGAACTCAGAATCAGTAGAGAAATCCATTCAAGTCTCATGTTTCCAGGACCTATATGAGCTAGAAATGAAATTTCTAAAAAGTATATAATTAAGCAGCGTCCTTTAAAGTGATTATCTAAAGTGGTTACACATTTATTGCTCAAATCAGTTATATGATGCACAATGTCTTACTGTTACTACAACTCTTAAGGGGTTTTTATTTCAAAAGTAATAAAAATTTGGGCTTCCCTGGTGGCGCAGTGGTTGAGAGTCCGCCTGCCGATGCAGGGGACACGGGTTCGTGCCCTGGTCCGGGAAGATCCCACATGCTGCGGAACGGCTGGGCCCGTGAGCCCTCGCCGCTGAGCCTGCATGTCCGGAGCCTGTGCTCCACGACAGGAGAGGCCACAACAGTGAGAGGCCCGCGTACCGCAAAAAAAAAAAAAGTAATAAAAATTTATTGGCTTTTTTTTTTTTGGCCATGCCACACAGCATGTGGGATCCTAGTTCCTCGACCAGGGATCGAACCCATGCCCCTTGCAGTGGAACCGTGGAGTTTTAACCACTGGACCGCTGGGCAGTCCCAAAAATAATAAAATTTAAAAAAAAATTTTCCTAGTGGTACAAGCATAATGAGAAAGACCTAGGTTGGCAAGGCAGTTCACCTGAGCCAAGAATTAGGGCACAGAAGCACTCTTCAAGAACAAACAAGAACTTGGTGGGCCATCTAGCAAAGAGCAGGGGTTTTGAGAAAGTCTATCTACCAGCCTTAGAAGGAAATTAACGGGATGTGTGCAGGTTCCCAGGGACAAAGAAGATGGCATTATAGAGTACAAGAGCACCAGCAAGACTATGCCTGGGTATTTCCACGGTTTCTCAACCTTCACTAGTAACATTTGAGCCAGATCATTCTTTGCTGTGAAGAGTTGTTCTGTGTACTGTAGGATCTTCCCTGGCCTCTACCTACTAAGTGCCAGCAGCACCATCTCTTTTTTTTTTTGCTGTACACGGGCCTCTCACTGCTGTGGCCTCTCCCGTTGCGGAGCACAGGCTCCGGACGCACAGGCTCAGCTGCCATGGCTCATGGGCCCAGCCGCTCCATGGCATGTGGGATCTTCCCGGACCGGGGCACAAACCCGTGTCCCCTGCATCGGCAGGCGGACTCTCAACCACTGCGCTACCAGGGAAGCCCCAGCAGCACCATCTCTTATTGTGACAACCTAAAATGTCTCCAGACACTGCCAAATGTTCACTGGTTGGGGGAAGGTACAAAATCCAAGGCATTGCCCCTTCCAGAGAGAACTACTAAGTTAGACTCATTGCTGAAGAAGCTCTTTACTAAAGGAGAGAGCCAGACTTCACTGGCTAATGAATATTCATTTCCACAGACCCATACACGGGTCAAGAAACAGACTGGGACAACTGCCAAGTGACTGAAGACCTTTCACGCTCTTTCCAATTTCAATGGCTTATGCTCTTTTTGGCATTATATATTAGAGCCTTAAAAAATGAACATAAATTTTGACCAAGGAATTTCACTTTTAAAGTTTTATACTAAGAAAATAATTATTGATTCTAAATAAAAGTTAGCTATAAAGAAATATATTTAAAGCAGAGTTGTTTTTGTGAAAATTTAGAAATTGGCTAAATGTCTAGCAATTGCTGTTAAAGTTAAGTAAGTTGAACTATAGCTCTACAAAGAAATATATCATACAGTCATTAAAATATTTACACATATTTCAGGATGTTGTTCCTAATACCATGGAATGAAAATGAAAATAACAAGGCAGAAAACAGTACAGTGCTATTTTTACATTACACACACAGGCACACACATGCACACAATGTAAAAAACAAAAAAGTTTCAAAGATAAACATCACAGTATTTTAAATATTAATGTCTTGGTAGGAGGATTATAGGGTTTTCTTCGACAAACCATGTACATTCCTTATATAATTAGTATTTTTAATCCTATGTATCTACAATTCCTAAATCTTTGTAAGGCAGACTATTTGGGGTATTAAAAAGAGGCTAAAATGTGTAAAATGTAGATTTTAAAACATTTATTTAATCTTTACAGAGAAGTTTCTCGAAAAGATTGAAACTAGTCATATATTATCTGCTGTTAAAACCAATTCTTTCATAAATAGAGCACAATGCCTAGGTTCAGAATGTGGCTCTATCACTTGCTAGCTACACGACCCTTGATATAAAACATTTCTGTGCTTCAGTTTCTCCATTTATACAGTTACAGGGTTGTTGTGAGAATAAATTAGTCAACACATATGAAGTGCTTGGAGCAGCACCTAGCAAATATACATGCTTAATAAATACCAGCTACTACTACTTGCCATTGTTGCTTTATGCCAGGAAAAAAAAATTATTAAGGAAAATCTTGTTATGAGTGACACAAAGGAATCCAGCATTATTCTTACATAACATCAATATGAAAAAAAATCCAGATCTGAGAAAGACCAGGTGAGATTTTTAAAAAAAAGGTACATCTGTGAGCTAGGTCATGAAAACAACTGGGAACAAGAACTACTAAAATGATAACCATGCTTTTAATAATGGACAGCAAAAAATTATATATCTATTGGCTAAAAAATATGAAAACTTTGTTTTGAACCAATTTATTCTACTATGATCATCCTCTAGGAAATTAAAAATCAGAAAAGCTCACATTATATTCACTAGATATGACTAAATCAGTATTTTTCAAACTCCAATTTATGACCCATGGGTAGTAAAATCAATTTAGTAATCCAGCGTATTTTTGTTCAATAACATAGAACAGCTATCAAAAATAAAAGAAATCAGAGAGCATCACACATAGCAATGGCAAGAATTGCTTTATAACATTTTTACAGCAGTTAAAATATACATTTGTGTGTCTCTTGGGGCATGGTGTAAAATGGACCTCTTACTGTGTGTAACAGTATTAAAAACTTGAAAAAAGAGTGTTCTGTACCAATATTTCAGGTTTCATATGTTAATCTGGATATTATATTTATTTTGCTTTTATAAATTTTATAATTCATATTACAAAGAATACAATGAAGGGCAATATAAAATTAGCTGAAATTGGGTGGTTATTAAACATTTAAAAGTATAGCACAAATATAAAATGGTAAAGGGTTGTAGAGTTTTGGACAATGATTTTAAACTCTGTTAAAAGGGAAAAAAATACCTATTTCCATCTGGCATTTGAAAAACAGGGAACAGAGAATATAGAATTTTCTTTCTTAGATGTTCCAATACCAGAAAAGGCAACCTGATTTGGTAAATGGGTCACTGGCTTCAGAAACCTGTCAGACAAGGGCAGAAATGCCAGGTCCACAACTTGCTAGCTCTGTAACCTTCACCAGTTAACCTCTCAGACTTGGTTTTCTCACACTTAACAAGATTTTAAGGATGAACGAAAGGATGTACATCAAGCCTCTAATACTGTGCTCATATATGGTGAAAAAGTGTAAAGCCTCCTCTCATAGCTCTAAAACTCACCAAAAGTGAAATTTATTACATTGGACATGGTCCAGGATAACCTCACAGTTTATCTTGTGTACCCATTAGATTCATCTTCAACCAACCATACCTTGAAGACAAACCAGATAGAGCTTTCTTGAGGATCTCAGGGGTTCTATCTGAGGATGGTGGAATTTCGGGAATATCAGAATCTGTTCTGGAATCCAAATCTCCATATCTGTCATCAATATCTGTTTCCTAAAATTAAAGAAAAAAAAATCACTTTGCAAAATAAAAGGAAGAAAAAGCCCATGCTTGCCAATGCATTTATTTATTGCTCAGTGTGCCAACTCTCATTTACATAACTTAAAACAAAAAAATAACTATTAACTTACCTTGAATATCCAAGCACTGTTGTACATCCTAGTTAGGAAAGTTTGATTATCTTTGCTAAAGTCTATCAATATAAAGGATTAATTTAAACAAAAGACACAAAAAGAAACTCCTATATTATCTAAATCAGAAATTTTCCACAGAATCAAACATTTATTGTTTTTCTACTTAACAAAGAATATGGTGTTAATGCCACATAGATTCTGATCAACTGTACACAGTCTCTTTTTTTATTTGATTACAATCAAAGCATCAACAACAAGAGAAATGTCTTACACTGGCATAGCATTTTAGATAGATAGATAGATAGATAGAGAAGCCGAATCCAGCCTCTGTACCCCGACCCTGAGTTAAATCTCAGACAGCTTTGGGTGAAGTAGAAAAGAATAGCTTTATTGCTTTGCCAGGCAAAGGGGGCCACAGTGGGCTAATGCCCGCAAAACCCATGTGTCCCAACTTGGAGAGGGTAGTGAGAAGTTTTATAGTAATGGGGTGTGAGCAGCTTGTGGACATTCTTCTGATTGGTTGGTTGATGAGGTAAGTAGAAGTCAGCATCATCAACCTTAAGATTCCAACTGGTCTGGGGTCTACGTGCTTGTGGGAAGCATACCATCATTAATTGTTAACTCTTCCCACCTGGAAGGGGTTTCAGTATCTGCAAAACAGCTCAAGATATTGTTGTGTGTATCCATTGATGGGGAACCAGGACCCTGCCCCAAGGCTGCACTATTGTTTCTCTTGACTGTTTCTCCCTTGTCTCACATCCCCTCCATTCCCTAATTAACAACTGCTTGAATCTGTCCATTGGAACTCAGAGAAGGTCATGGAGGCTGAATGAAGGCTATTTTCTGCAATCAGAGAAATGGGGGGACACAGAAAGTCTTTGTACCCAAGAGCCCCACAGGGCCCTGCTCAGTATCAATCCCCCCTTTTCTTTGATATTCCTCAATCTTGAGAACAGATGTTGGACAAGGAAGGGAATAACTGTTTCGGATAAAGACATTAATCATAAACTCAGCAGAGGAACTTGGTTTCAGGGGACTTGGTTTTAATCTCCCTTTTTTAACTTTCCCTGAATCTTTTAGGGAATAGGGTGACAACTGCTCTGGCTACTTCCAGCTGAAATGGGGCATAGTCCTGCCTCAATTTGGGACACCGAGTTGGAAATATTACTGAGTTCCAAGTCCTGGATCTGAGTTTAGTATGATTAAGGTCTCAATCCCCTGGGAATTTAAGCCTGAAACCCAGTCTGGACCTGGCTCTTTAAGGGAGACTTGTAGCCAGGTAGCCAGTTGTCTAATTTTATCTAACTAGGTTTTAACTTCTGATATGGTATTCAGATATATATAACAGGAGCCATTGGCCATTAAATATGTCTCCTCTTTTGTTGTTAATATCTGATCTAAAGCAATTTTATTGTCTAAAAAGTTTAATAGTTACAAGGGGATACCTTGAAACTATAAGGTTGCAGTTACCAGTGGACACTGTTTTGAGATTGGCTGGTGCCATCCCCTAGGTCTGACACAGCTCAGAAAATTCGAGCTCTCAGCAATACAGGAACATGTCTGAAATCACGTCCATATGTCTGAACCAACAGCTCCTCCATTTTGACTTCCAATTGCATTTCTCTTCTTAATGGCCAAAGCAGATGTCACCGTTAATGATTTCAGTGCTTTTCTAGATATGAGAAGATGCAAGAATTTGGGCTCATAAAATCTTCTGAAAATATCTAACTATCTAAAGCCCTGCTCTGCCAGTTTTTCTCAGAGCAGAGTGACTCATTCCTGATCTCCACCCTGAATTCCTTTCAGGGGGTGTTGAAGGTCAGTGGCCACAGTGGCCATTGGCCTAATCCTTGCAGAGGCAGATGGCAATTTGCAGTTGGCAGAGCCCCTTCAGGATCATAAACTTGACCATGGTTTGGGGGGCATTTCATGACCATTTTGTCCCACGGTGCTAGGAATGCTCATTCCCAGGTCTGGCAAAGATTTTGCTGATAGGCCACTCAATGTGCTATTACTTACTGGACTAGGCCTTACTAGTAACCAAAAGTCTCTGGGCCACCTGTCTTCCTAGTCTCTTATGGTCCAGGAAACTATTCCCTCTTGTTGCTTCTTCCCATATCTAGTTACACTATTACAATCATTGATCTCATATGGAACTATACATCATCATTTTATCAGAGGCTCAGTCACACATTCGGTAATGCAAGAAACAACAATTTTGCAAAACAGGCAATATAAAAAACAATATAGCTAGCAGATTAGTAAGGTCATAATTCAGAATATAAGTTAAGAACTTCCATTAGGTGCAGCCCAGTATATCCCAGGTCTTCTGACTTAGTCTGTTCTGTACCAATCCTTATCTTTAAGGGATATTATATATTGGCATTATCCATAAGGCACCCAGCCCAGTTTCCTAGTGTTACTAGTCTGGTTATCCCTAGTATGGGTTTAATTGTCCCCAACATAAGTGACCCTTTAAATTTGAATGAACATAACCTGGTGTTAATCTCCTGGTTGTAGATCATGGAGCATCTGATCTTTATCCAAAGACTGATTACAAAGTTAGGCTTCAGAAACAAACTTAGAGTGTTCTGACAATTTAATTAAATTTTGGAACAATATAACATAACCACAAGGAACTATCTGGGAAGTAAGTCTTGGTAAGCACAGACATTAATCAACAAAACTAGAATTTAATATTCAGTGAAACATAATTTTTTTCTAAAATTGCCCCCATGTTCATCAAGTATAGCCAAGACTAATTTGTTTCTAAAATAAGATTGGTCCATTGACCACATAGGTTCTTCCACATTGACTCTGGTGTAATTCCTCAGAAGAAGTCTCAGACTAAATTTCCAAAAGGCCTCTCAAGGCCAAGAAAGCCATATCAAAGGCCTGCCATCAGATTTTGCCTAGGTGGATTTCTCTCTTTTAGAGGTCCCCAAAATATCAAGATTTCTGCACATGCCAGGAGACAGTTTTTCTCATTCGCCTGATAAGGCTGCTCAGAACCCAAGAGTCTCCAATTTTTGAAGGGAACAGGCAGAGGGAAAAGAAAAATATCTCAATTTTACTCACAGAGGTGTAATTTACCAAATTGTTGCAAATCATAACCAACTTGAGGGGAAGTTTTTTTCCTATATCTGGAAAACACAGATCAAAGCCAGTAACATTTCAGACAAAACCCATAAAAATTATAACCATATTCACCAGTTCATTTAGTAACCAATCCTCTTGTTAACTTTTTATGAAACCATCAAGTTTTCCCTTAGGATTTTTTTTTTAATTTCTTACCCAGTTTCCCAGTACAACCTGAGATTTATCAAAATACAAAATAATAACTGTCTACAAATCATAGACTTAAAAAGTCATGGCTAAACATTTGATCACAATGGGACTGACAAAAAGAAACTTTAGTTATTGCTGTAACGTGCAACATTTTTAAATAACTAGAATTACGACTGATAACATTTTACAAGGACATACTAGATTTTTAGGAATGCCATGTAATTTAACATACTAATTAAATATTTCTCTCTGAGATGCCTCGGCCTTCTAAAGCATCTTAACGTTAGTTGGAAGTTGAAAGAACTTTGAGAATCTGTCACACAATACTTATTTCATTTAACCAAAGTGAAGAGACTTCAAAAGCAAATATAGATGCTTAAAGGCAAAGAAACTCACGAGCTGTCATCAAAAGCAGTATTCTAAGAAAACTTTGAAGGGAGAAACCGAATCTGAATCTGGTCTTGCTCTAGCCCACTCCCAACAAAATCCATCTACCTAACTAGATTTAATAATCCAATCTTAGAAAATCCTGACCATGCACAATTCTAAAAACATGTGCTTTCTTATAGAGAATATCCCAGGGTGGCACCAAATACCTTTAGATTCCTAAATACCTTTAGTCTCCTCTCTGCCAAGGGAAGCCAACATTCACTAATTAATGTTTCAGTATCTTAATATTTTATTTGGAAATGACCTACCTATTCAATAAACTTCCATCATTTAACTTAACTCTATATTTTTAAGCTACCAAGCAGCTGAAAAGATTATTCTTAAGTACACATTCCTAAAACAATTATTCCTAAAGAGTTTTACCCAAAAGCTCTTATCTCACTTGCATTACTTAACATTGATAACTCTAAAGAAATGTCTATATTAATCAAACCAACAAGCTTAAGCGAACTTCAATAGCAAATATCAGTTCAGTACTGAATAATCCCCAGATCATGTGGTCCCAAAATTTATCTTGGCCATTTTCTACACATTTAGATTGAATTTGTAAGTGCTTAATTTTAAGTGAATTAAATAGAGCTCATTTACAAGTTAACTTTTACATAAAGACAACCAGAAATCTCAGTTTTTCCGCTTGATTTTATAAAGGCTTCCCCCCTCTGCCCCCCACCTTTTTTTTTTTTTTTCTAGAGATAGTCTAGATAAGATAAGTATTCCTGAGGGTCCGGGCACAGTGGTCTCTTGCAGTTTTGTAACAATACCCTGGGGGGCGAGGGGCGGTTACAAGATGGAACAGAACTCTGGTTACCCATAACAAGGCTTGTCCCAAAGGGAAAATCCCAACCAGCATTCCGCCACAGGCAAAGCCTGACACAACAGGGAAGGATTCCCTGGTATTGTCTCATGTGATCCCTGTTATTTAGCAAAGACATCTCGACCAGTCAATATAAGTACTGACACACATACATACAAACAACAAACACGGTCCCACAAACAAAAGATCAGACAAGGTGTAGCCCAAAGATTCCATTTCCACTCCCAGACTGAGAACTCAAAATGGCTTACAATGATTGGGTAGAATTTCCCCATCCTGTGCAAGCCTGAGTGGCTTACCCCAAAACA